CCATTACCGGTCATGAAAAAAGACAAAAAGGGAAAAAAAATTCCCTAAAATTTTAAGAAACATAAGCATCAAAATTGTTAAAATTCCCTGAAATTTTAAGAAATATAAGCATCAAAATTAGAACTATCATAACAGAAAACTACTGTTATGTATACCCTTCACGTCCCACAACAGTGACCTTAATTGCACTTCCTGCCCTGGGCAACCATACAAATTATGAGAACTAAAGCAAAACAAAGCAGCCTATGTGGACGTATAAACTGGAAACATTTCTATGTACATAATATGTTGTTTGTGGCTCAATGTGTATGTGTCAGTGTTTTTCCTCTTGCCTTTCATTTCCTAATGTTCTACACCATCAGACTGTGAATCACTTTGTTATTTTCCTGTTCAACCTGCTTTTCTGCTCTGGGCTTCTTCATCTTACTGCAAAAGTGAGTTGTACCATCTACAGTTGATATTGTCCTTTAGCAAACTCTAGTGGATTTTTTTAAATTGAGAGAGACTTAAAGAAACAAAAAAGATTACTAGAAAATAATTAAACTCTGACTATAGGCTTAACTATATCAATTTACTAATAATGGAAAAAGTGCAGCTATATCTTACTGTCATCAATAGAAAATAAACTAAAACTATACACAATTATACATACAATGTGTGTTTTTCTATCTCCCTGTCTTTTACCACTAAGGAATTTTAAAAAATCATAGATAGGAATGAATAAGGGGTCTGTTTTCGCTTGTCTAGATCCTTCCCTTTATTGCTGCCCTGGATCTGGACTGTGTATTTGATCCTTTTTCCTTTCACTCTCAGCTCTTCACTTCCTAGCATCAAGGCTAATTGTCTAATTGCAAAAACACTGCAAATGCTGCAGCAGCTCAAAATCTGTCTTTTAAAGTAAAACCTTATAAAATGTATCATACTACAGCTCTAGCAATTTCTGCCCTTTATGATAATACACAAATCTCTATCTCTGCAAATGACAGAATGTTAGGAGGTGTGACATTCTTTTAAAGCAAGCGCTGCTGTCGCTATTTGCTTTACTGGAGGACTTTTATCTGAATCCTTGTTATTATTAGGAAGAGAACTTCATAGCTGAGCGTCTCCCTGTCTGCTCAGAAGCCTGTGTTCTATGGTGCATTTTTATGTCTCACCTCCCATCACCCCTTGCCCTTACCTGAACAGGAAGTTTGATAAAACAACACTCTACAGTAACAATATTTCTCTGCTTGTTGCTTTGCTGGCTTGTTGCTGCTTGCTTCATATACAGGTGTTTGTAGGTTACTTTCTTATCGTATTGGTAAAACTTTACTGGGAGGACAATCTGTTTGTTTCGTGTATCTTTTCAAACTTGAACAGATCTAGATTTTAAAAGACAGGTAATAATAATATCTAGCAACATATTTTATGTTATATCCCAGTTTTTCACCAAGAAGGAGGTGCAGAACATTTAGACAGGAATGAGTAAGTCTGCTTTTATCTGTGTACGTTTAGGTACTACTACCTTTGTCACCTTGTGATTTTGAAATTCCTTCCACAATCATACCCCTGAGGTATTTGCGTTTTCTAATAGCAATGATATTATAATGTACACCCTCTTATTTTATATCTATACAAGGCAACCATAAGACAGATGTCGTGACTGTGGTATGGATTATTTTAGATGACAGCAAGTCTATAGAACAAAACTTCCATTAAATGTTTCTCATGTTTATTACTAAAAGCCTTCTTCGTTCTATTTGGTAGAGAACATTGGACATACATTTCAATGTCTCTTTAGTCAATGACATTTGTGCTGACTGGAGTAATTTGGTGTCTGGAAAAGATATCTGCTATTATGAGAGTGTTTGCTGGAAGATGTTCAACTTCTGGGCTAAACTCTAGTCTCACAAGTAGGTCCTGGCTCCTTCGAGGCACTTGATCTGGACTATGATTATTAATAAAAGGCAGTAAAGGTTTGCAGTCTGCCAGGAGTCTGACATAGCCCAGGCCATATGTTTCTGGAAGATTTCTCTTGTATCAGTCTTCTGGCCAAGAATTCCTTTTCTATTTGTACATTCTAGAATTCCTCCTCAGTGAAGGCACTGAGAACAAACACAAATTGTATCTTTTTGTTTTAACTTTATAATTTTGAAAGAACAATTCCAATCTACCTCAGAGTTCCTGGTATCTTGTACAATAAAAGTGAAGTTTTAACAACGTGCAATGTGTACAACAAAACACACAAAAGATGTCCTCAGGGCTTGGACAATCAAACCCCATTTCACTTTGGCTGTTTATCTGGGATTTCCTAAGGTAATATATATCCTAAGCATATTTTAGAAACAGTTTCCATAAATCAATATGTCGTAGGTAGCAATTATGTTGTCAGGACTTTTTTCTCTCAAAAGGTATAATTCCTTAGACAATTCTTGTGATTGTTGCAAGCCATTTTGTGTATTATAGTTCGATTTCCAGACTCATGGTTATCTCCAAAGACTCTGTAATCCATTGCTTCTAATTTCATTGAGGTCATTGAAGCAAAGAGTTAAAACCTGAAACTGATAATATCCAGCTGGGCTAAATAAATGTAACTTATCCTAAAATGAGTCAGGAGAGAGGATCTAATATAAAAATCATACAAATCTGACTATTAAAGCACATACTAAGATTCTAAAATGTAATGAATGTGGACTAGAATAATATTCTTTTACAATTTTGTCACAGATTAAGTTTTTCCACTGGAAGAAGAGGTAGTATTCAATGGCATCCTTGAACCCTGGGGACTGTGAGATTTCAGATGAATTTGTGTACTCTTCAAGCACGTTCACCAGGGAGCAATTTTTGGATGCCTGCTCTGCTGGGCCTTTTGCTGGGAGCTGAGGAGGAGACATTACTCCTGTCCTCTAGAGACTTAAGGTCTAGTTGTCTAGAGAAACGGGAAAAATATCACGGGGATATGAATAAAGGTGGTCACAGTTGAAAAGATGCGGAGAAAAAAAAATAAATCCTCAGATAATTATGAAGTTAAATGGACTGTATTTGGTAAGTACAAAATATTACTGACTAGAGGGCATGAGAACAGAAGGGCTTGAAGGGAAAAGAAGAAAACTATTTAAGGGTTTATACTTTGAAAAATTGAACTTCATTAACTGAGACAGACTATTAGAAAAAGTTTATAGGACCAGATTGGACACATTCAGTTTTTGATTCATTGATAGTGATATCTATTATTTAATTAGAAATGCTGGACTTATGAATGAGGTCTGGGATTGGTATATACTCATGGGTGACAATGAGGACACTGAAGCTAATAAAGACACCTGCCTTTCTGTGGCTCTGACACTGATTTTCTCTTCCCGCACTTATACTTTGTTTAAATATTTGTGATTTTTCCGTATCCACTCATCCGATGATGGACATTTGGGTTGATTCCAGCTCTTGGCTATT